TTTTCAAAAAACACTGTGTCATGTATTATTTTACAAACTTCACAATAGTCTTTGTTAACACTAAAATGCATGTGTCACATATCCAGGTAGGTTTTGGTTTCTTTTTCTTTCAAGATGGTCCTTCATTCTTTGTACTGTTACTGCATTGGTTAACATTTGAAAATAGAGGTCTCTGTTGTTATTAAATCGTTTTCTTCAGACGAAGTTAATAATACCTCTCTATTTTGTTTATGCATCGATTTGATTATCGTGGTATTGATACAACATCTAATAAGATCTTCTATATTTTATCAAATACAGAATGGCAGCATCTGTATGCACAGTTTTCTCATTTTGATACTTACGTAATGAACATTATAGTACATAAGGAAAATAAAATGAACGATCGATTTTGATTAATATACGCTGAACAAGTGTACCCTGTTTTACAAGTACTAAAGAAAGAACAATGTCAAATCGTCAAACTCATCATTCTTGTAACATAATTCTAATGAGAAATAAATGAAACAGGACTCAACTTATACAGATCATGTTTGAGCGCACTTGATATCTTCCCCCAAGGCCCTGCGCACGTCCTCTTTTCAGTCCATAGACCATAGCGAAGAATTAGTTCCATTAGATGAAAAAATCGGTATTCATACAGGAGGGTGTTAAAGTATGGAAGGATATGTCATTTGATGTAAACTGGACGATAATTATTCGTTTCTTCCGTGTTGTAAATGGTCCGAGTTTTTAAGTCTATATAAATCTTCTTAGAATTTGTTACAGTTACAGGAGGCTGAAAAAGACTGAGTATATCTTACACTTCATTGTTGAAAAGTTAAATATTTCGCTGCTGATAAAATTGAGGGTAAACCCTCTAATTTTACAACATGACTTTCCGTTGTCGCGTAGGTACCCTTAGTTTTTGATACCACCACTGACCCAAGATATTATATAGTAACCGTCCAGTTCGTCTGTAAACTCGCCAAACTAATCCCATACAACAGTCTGAAATGTATACAATACTGTCTTTATTATAATACAATACAGACGTAATACTAGCATATGATATAATTTCATGTTTTCCCATGGATATAGTGATGTAAAACTCACGTACTTAGTCTTTTCTTCTTCTTTTATATCGTATAAAATCCTTGTCGTGTTGACTCTCCCTCCATAGAAAGCATCTCATACATCCAGGCGGGCCTCTACCATATGTTCGCTAAGGGAATTTATCAAGTCTGAATCATTAGATTTCATTTTCTTAAACTGATGTTCCCATATTGTTATGACCTTGTACCCTAGGGCTTCGAGTTGTTGTATTTCAAATGTATGCTTTCTAACAAACTACATGCGTCTATTTAGAACTACATTACGTGTATCAGAGTCAAAAATTCATAGATTGTGTTTAGTTAATCCGTCTACTCTATAACGTATTTATTCCCAAATGGTAGTTGAGCATATTATATAGCATAGATAGAACGTATTTATTCCCAAATGGTAGTTGTAGCGTATTATCTTGAATATCTAAAAGGTTTGTCCAGCATATACACAATGTATTTCTTTCCAAGTGGTAGCATATTATCGAGCATATATAGAACGTATTTGTTCCTAAGTGGTAGCTGTAGCATACTATTGTGTGTTTATTTCCAAGTGGTAGTTGTATTATATTATCTAGCACGTAGAGAACGTATTTATTCCCAAGTGGTAGTTGTGACATATTATTATAAATATCTACAAGGTATTTATTGCCAAATGCAGTTGTAGCATATTATCGAGCATATATAGAAAATATTTGTTCCTAAGTAGTAGCTGTAGCATACTATTGTGTGTTTATTTCCAAGTGGTAGTTGTATATATTATCTAGAATATTTATTCCCAAGTTGAAGTTGTGCCGTACTGTATAGCATATCTACTTGTAGCATATCTAGAACCTATTTATATCTAAGTGGCAGTTGTAGCATATGTAGAAGTTATATATTTCCATGTGGTAGTTGCAACATATTATTTAGCATCTCCAGAACGTATTTACTCCCGACTGGTAGTTCTAGCATATCTAGAATGTATATATTCCTAAGTGGTAGTTGTAGCATATTATATAACAAATCTAGAAAGTATTTATTCTTATATAACAGCTCTAGCATATGTAGAACGTGGTTATTCCCAAGTGATAGTTGAGTCACGGCTAGAACATATTTATTTCCAATTGGTAGTTGTAGCATATTATATAACAAATCTAGAAAGTATTTATTCTTATATAACAGCTCTAGCATATGTTGAACGTGGTTATTCTCAAGTGATAGTTGAGTCACGGCTAGAACATATTTATTTCCAATTGGTAGTTGTAGCATATTATATAACAAATCTAGAAAGTATTTATTCTTATATAACAGCTCTAGCATATGTAGAACGTGGTTATTCTCAAGTGATAGTTGAGTCACGGCTAGAACATATATATTTCCAATTGGTAGCTGTAGCATATTGTGTAGCTTATGTAAAATATATTTATTCGCAAGTGGTATTGTTCATTATTATCTAGCATATCTATAACGTATTTATTCCCAAGTGATAGTTGTAGCGTTTTATATAGCATACCTAGAATCTATCTATTCCAAATTGGTAGTTGTAACATATACGGTATATATAAAACGTATTTATTCCCAAGTGATAGTTGAAGCATATTATCTAACATATCTAGAACGTTTTTATTTCCAAGTGGTAGATGTGGCATATTATTAAAAACACCTAGAACGTGTTTATTCCAAATTGGTAGTTGTAGTACGTTGATCAGCATATCTAGATCTTATTTATTCAAAAGTTGTAGTTGTAGGATATTATCTATCAAATGTAGAGCGTATTTATCCCCAAGTACTACCATATTACCTGCTATATCTAGGACGTAGTTATTCCCAAGCTGTAGTTCTAGCATATTATCTATCAAATCTAGAGCGTATTTATCCCCAAGTACTACCACATTACCTGCCATATCTAGGACGTAGTTATTCCCAAGCTGTAGTTGTAGGATATTATCTATCAAATCTAGAGCGTATTTATCCCCAAGTACTACCATATTACCTGCCATATCTAGAACGTAGTTATTCCCAAGCTGTAGTTCTAGCATATTATCTATCAAATCAAGAGCGTATTTATCCCCAAGTACTACCATATTACCTGCCATATCTAGGACGTAGTTATTCACAAGCTGTAGTTGTAAGATATTATCTATCAAATCTAAAGCGTATTTATTCCCAAGTACTACCATATTACCTGCCATATCTATGACGTAGTTATTCCCAAGCTGTAGTTGTAAGATATTATCTATCAAATCTAGAGCGTATTTATTCCCAAGTACTACCATATTACCTGCCATATCTATGACGTAGTTATTCCCAAGCTGTAGTTCTAGCATATTATCTATCAAATCTAGAGCGTATTTATCCCCAAGTACTACCATATTAACTGTTATATCTATGACGTAGTTATTCCCAAGCTGTAGTTCTAGCATATTATCTATCAAATCTAAAGCGTATTTATCCCCAAGTACTACCATATTACCTGCCATATCTAGGACGTAGTTATTCCCAAGCTGTAGTTGTAGAATATTATCTATCAAATCTAGAGCGTATTTATCCCAAAGTACTACCATATTACTTGCCATATCTATGACGTATTTATTCCCAAGCTGTAGTTGTAGAATATTATCTATCAAATCTAGAGCGTATTTATCCCCAAGTGCTACCATATTACTTGCCATATCTATGACGTAGTTATTCCTAAGCTGTAGTTCTAGCATATTATCTATCAAATCTAGAGCGTATTTATCCCCAAGTACTAACATATTACCTGACATATCTGGAACGTAGTTATTCCCAAGCTGTAGTTGTAGGATATTATCTATCAAATCCAGAACATATTTATCCCCAAGTACTACCATATCTAAAACGTAGTTATTCCAAAGCTGTAGTTGTAGGATATTATATATCATATCTTGAGCATATTTATCCCCAAGTACTAGCCAATTACCCGCCATATCTAGAACGTAGTTATTCCAAAGGATATTATCTATCATAACTTGAGCATATTTATCCCCAAGTGTCATCGAAGATAAAATATGAAGATTTATTAAAAAAAAAGAGAGAGTTAAACTGATGGAGAATGTAACAGGAATTTATGTTATTCGATACAAAGATATACCAGTCAAATCACTGGATGTAGCAACTATGAATTTCTTTGCAACTGGACTTTTGAAACGGTCATTAACAAATTGTTGTACTTGTACAGTAAATGGGTTATGGAAAGAATGAATGGAGGAGTGGTTAAAATTAAATATAATAAATATACGACAGACCCTTTGCAATGGAAAATATGCTGCAGGACTATTGTGAAGAAGCATAATTGTCAAATCGGACGGGGCAAGATGGATTGTAACGACATGGGGAAGCTCCAAAACCTTTAGATAATGTAGATAGGGAAAATTAATTTTTAAAGTGAGAATTTCCAATAGCTTTCAGAACATAAATGAAATTCAATGAGACTAGGATTAATGCAAGAAAAGGAATTACAAAAGATAGCCAGCTACCAACCCTCCTCACACACCAAGTAAATATTTTCGAGAAGTTACAAGAAAAAATGACAAGCTTTACTTAGCAAATTCCTTGCTCCTTGTTGGCTCAGCTGTGCTTCAGGACTTTTTACTCTAAAATTGGGGTTTTGATATTCCTGGTGGGTACAGCGCACATAGCCCATTATGTAATTTTGGGCTTAATAACAGGCGAAAAGAAAAAAGTCCTTAAAGCTTACATCCATTACTAGAAGATATTAACAGATAATTACAAAAAAATATCATTGTAAATTACACCGGAAAACTATTTCTAACAGTATAAGTGATATGCGTCTTAAAAAGTAACAAAAATTTGCTAATCCTGTATAGAATATTTGGTATGTCTTACTGAACAGCATTTTATGCAACAAATGTGCTAAATTGTCAGGTCAAGAACCCCTAACAACCAAACAATAGCATCCGTTGCCTTTAGGGCTACTCTTAACCGAATATCGGAATTAATTTCACGGTTACAAGGTCCACAACTGAAAGTGCAGAACACAATCAAAAGTACATTGTGGATTGGATGCGATCCGTAGCCCTGTAGAGACGAAATAACACAAGCTGACCTTTGTAATAAACATATTAAGTTTTTATAAAAATGGTAATGTTCAATGTTTATATAAACATGAATGAATTGACCTGGAATCGACTTTTCGGAACACTTGCATTTGAATTCCTCATGTAATTTTTCCATGTTACAAATATATATCAGATCTATTGAGTAAGATTAACTGATTTATCTTTGACTATTGTATGTAATGAAGTAACATTTACAAATAAATATAGAACTTATTGGGAAACCACCACAGAAGTCCAAGTCTCTTTCCACAAATAAACAAAAATGACCTACGAAAGATATTCTATTAATTGTTTTAAGGTTCTTGACACGTAACATATATTTACATATTCAATATAACTTTGTTATTCCACCCAATAAAGGGCACATCGGGACACACCATCTATGTTCCCTGAATTACATAACTCTTATCACGACTATCATTAATTCAGTTAGCCCATATCTGGTTTAAGTTCAGCTTTTAGTAGATTCCAAATACATTCTTACAAACAATTTAGGGTTTATATCAGATGAGTTTTTTATCTGTTGTAGTAAACGTAATTTGTTATCTGTATCGTGCGCACATGCATACATACATTTGAATTCACATAACAAAGCACTAATAAAACACTGACGACTCCATTGTTTCGAAACATTTTATTTGAAATTGGATTCTTCTGGGAAACGTATAATGCCATACTAGGAATGTTTATTCAGAAACGCTACACGTAGTGTTGCTTTCGGTACAAAATCTATAACTAGTGGAATAAATAATACTCAGACTAAGAGAAAAAATACAAAATTTTCGATTTCAAAGTTACGAAATACATTTCCGAGTAACTCCAAATTAAATATATAACGCGTTTCACTGTTGACAAAACAAAAAACAATTAAAAATAAATCTATATTCAAATATTGCACTGACCATTTCTCATTTTTGTGTTTTTATACGAAAGAAATACAAACTAATGTGTCAGCAAACGGAACTAACTTCCTGGTGGACGGAAAAAACAACGCAAGTTCCCTGCATCACTTGGATTATATAAGAACATTACCTGGTCAGAAATTTCTAAAGATGTATAGCTAGCAATTCATTATTTAATAAAGTCACTAGGTAGTGCTACCAATGCGAAGTATCGATGTTTGTATACATAAACACATAACAAACAATATAAGTTAAACGATAAAAACTGCGGCGCCATATATGTTACACTGTTCTTTCTATCAATTTATTCAAATTAAGCACAAAATCCGGACGTCCAGGGTACTATACAGATTCAATATATCCTATATACCATCCTCTTTTTAATATTTTATGCAATAAATCTGAAGAAACTGTGCTATTAACCATTCAGCAGTTGAAATGGAAAAAAAAGTATTAGCAATCCGTAAAACTCGGTAATAGAAGATATTCCACCATATTTATTTTGCTAAAAAAAGGTAAAACTAGCTACATAACCCATACATTGTGCAAGTCGTATGGTTAATTAAAAAAAATCGTTTGATGGCACAGCCTTACAAACATATTCTTATAAATTACCTTTGGTTTGAATGTTACCTTTTACAATACAAAGATTTCCTATTTATTATAAACGTTATCAATAATCTATGCCAAGAATCAGTGCAAACAATAAATGACATAGCTGTTAATAAAGTATACACTACAATAAAATACAGGTAACTAACAATGGTGTACAATACAACTTGTACATATACAAATCTATGCCAAGCACCTACTTAGTTTTTTTCTTTTCTACATGAAATGAGTATGTATTTAAAAAACAAAAGCTAAAGTTTAAGTGGCATGCAGTGTTTGTATAAAATATTTATTTATTTTTATCAGCTTTCCTTTTAATGGTTTGTTTCTTAAATATGATGTTATTTTTACATCACTACAATGTAAAGTGTTAACAAGTAACCAAGGTTTTCATATGACTGTGTGAAAACCAGAAAGTCTCATCAGACATGTAATTCCATGATCATTTTGTGTTTTTATGATCTGGCTGAATATGTAATAAGATCATTCTACCTTCTTGGCTTTGAATACAAACAACACACATTCTGAGCATTCTTTACACAAGACTAACCAACAAACTGGTCAGTAAATATTAAATAAATTACCTGCATTTACTATTACCTCAAACTCTGGTCAGTAAATATTAAATAAATTACCTGCATTTACTATTACCTCAAAACTCTCCTAAATAGGCAAACTCTTTTTCTTTCAGTCATTATCATTAGTATTCTTAAAGGGCAGTGAAGCCCTAAATGACTTTGTGTTTTCCTATCATATTTAAGCTGGTAAAAAAGAACCACACCATCACATTTGCACAATTTTACCAACTATTTATGCTATTTGCATAAATATTCACACATTACAAGACCATGTTTTCGTTAGTTACCATAACAAAGATTCAATCAGACTAGTATTCTTTAACCTCATTGCTACGAAACAATTCAAGTGATTTTATCTTACTAACATTCTTCTAATTGTTTTAAAAATACACTATATTCTGTTCAGATGTGAAAACAACACACATACATTTTGCTGGACATCTAATAGACTGACTACTCCCAATTCATTCTCTGGACTTTTTGTCAATTTTCACAGCCCACTGCTAACTATGTTTTGAAAGTTTAAAACAACAATAACAAGGACTTACAGGGAGTCTAGTGTTCCAGTTAATATGAATCACACAGCAGTACTTATTTTTAAAGTGGTTGAACATTTTGTCACACAGCAACTTCTAGTAAGCAAGTTCATAGTGTTTTAAACACTAAACATCTTGTGTTCAGTACCAAGAACTAATCATATTGAGATAGTAACAACAAAAGAAAATTACCATCAATATATTGGTCTTGCTAAATCTCTTTGTGTTGCATTATTAAGCCCTAGAAAAAAATCACATAATATGGAGGTGTTGCTAAATTAGGAAGATGTTAGATATGTTGTTCCTAGATATATCAACATCTTGTCAATATTTTTCTAAGGCTTCTTTCACAAATTTTTGAATTTATTAAAACTCTTTCCCCATATATTTTCACATTATGTTTATGCTGAAAAACATGTACAATCAATTTCCATTTGACAATTATGTGAAAATTGCATTACATTAACACTGTTTCTTGCTTTTTCTACTACCCTCAATTATTCTAGTCCTTGTTATACTTTTCCATATAATTTAATAGTACCAGTACTGTGGCTATGCTTACATTACTTACCAGGTTTATTACTTGCTGACTTTCTACAAAAAAAACCTTCATAGAAGACAAATTTTTCATAGAACAGAATCACAGAAAACTATGAAATATTACACTCTTTCATCCTGAATAAGATAATATAGGCTGCCAAGTAAATAGCATTATGTATGAATATCAAATTAACAAGGCATTAAGCAAAAGAATCAACTTTAACTGTATGATTCAAGTCATATCTATTAATTGATCATAGTCTAAAGAAAGATTCTACCAAACAAAGTGCTTTGATGCTCAACATAATGAAGCTAGAAGATATCAGCTTACAATACCACACTGTCCTAAAGTTTATTATAGGAATCCCGCTTTTAATAACATTTTACGTGTGCAAGTTACATATTCATTAGTCTTTTTTAAAATTGCACAGCCACCACTTCATAATTTTCTTTAAGTTTCAAACCCTTCCAAGAAAGGACTCTGTTGGTGGTAACATTCTAATACTTATCTCAAGAACAGAATTCAACTGGAAAAATGTACACAGAAATTAGCATAAAAAGTTAAGTTTTAAATCAAAAATGTTTTTGAAAATCTTTCAAGCTAATATTTTTACTGTAATTTCTAACACAAATAAAAAATTACAGAATTTTCTTCAATAGCAGAGATCAGCTTTTCCATTAACTTCTTTAAGTTTCAAAGAAAATAATTTCTGGTATAGTTATATTCTTTTTACCATTTCCAAACATTTAATATTCCTTGTGCTTTAGTAAAAATTATCTATTACATATGTTTTAAATTGCAATTTTCAGACAAAACATGACATTTGTAGCACTAACATTTTGATATCATACTAGTGCCAATTAATTTTTAAGACTATATAAACAGGATGAACAATAGATACCAATCTTGTTTGCATATAAAGATAAAGTACTGAAACTAGTCCATTTCTTTTCTAACAAAAACATACATGATACAATCGAAACACCACTCCATTCACACTACAATATAATAAAAAGTATGCTTTCTCACCCTTCCATTATGTATACATTACAAACACAACTCCATTCACTCTACAATATAATAAAAAGTGTGCTTTCTTGCCCTCCCATTATGTATACATTACAAACACAACTCCATTCACACTACAATATAATAAAAAGTGTGCTTTCTCACCCTTCCATTATGTATACATTACAAACACAACTCCATTCACTCAACAACACAAAAAGTGTGCTTTCTCACCCTCCCATTATGTATACATTACAAACGCAACTCCATTCACTCTACAATATAATAGTATGCTTTCTCACCCTTCCATTATGTATACATTACAAACACAACTCCATTCACTCTACAATATAATAAAAAGTGTGCTTTCTCACCCTTCCATTATGTATACATTACAAACACAACTCCATTCACTCTACAATATAATAAAAAGTATGCTTTCTCACCCTTCCATTATGTATACATTACAAACACCACTCCATTCACTCAACAACACAAAAAGTGTACTTTCTTACCATTCTATTATGTATGCAGTCCAAACATCACTTCATTCACTCTACAATATACAAAGTATGCTTTCTCACCCTCTCACTACATATACAGTCTAAACCTATTCATTTCACTATGTGTAAATTAAGTCTAGTTTCTCACCCTTCCACTCTCCGACATACTTGTACAAAATACCTCAATATTTTCATATATAGATACATAGAAATAGTGAAATTATACCGATTCTCACCAGAAAATACATGAAATATTTTACATTATTTTAGTTTTCCACTAAAAAAGATTGAAGATATCTTGTTCATTATGCTATACACTTAAAATATTGAAAATATTCATACTGACCTAACTAGAAATGTGCACAATCATTTTCTCTTCACACTTTAATCGTTGAAATGATGTCATTCTTTATATTACAATCACCAGAAATCCACTATGCTTAATTCATCTCATCCATTACACCAACATACAAAAATTCTATTCTCTTCCATTCCCTCACCATTACAGCATATACAAAGTACTGATTTCTCCCTACTTCAGTATCCAACTATTTCTGAACCAACAAACCATTTCCACTGAAACAAACTCAGTTTACGTACTACATTACACACAAAGTATTCACTTTATTATTTTTTAAGACATTATTTAAAGCCTCTCATTACCTTCATTAGAGTACAGTTTGCTTGTTTTTTATAGCAAATCACAATAGGCTAACTGCTGTGTCCACTGTGGGGGAATCAAACCCCTGATTGTAGCATTGCAAGTCTGTGGACTTACTGTTGCCCTACTGGTGTACATAGAATACACGTTATAATTAAACCCCTTAAATTCTCTGAACTTCAGAACACACAAACATGCAGAAAGCATTTACAGCTTTACCTTTAGTTAATTGGAATACAGGTATGGATTTAAAATCAGTACATTCTCTGAACTACAGCTCACACACAAAGCATTTACAGCTTTATGTTTACTTAATTGGAATACAGGTATGGATTTAAAATCAGTACATTCTCTGAACTACAGCTTACACACAAAGCATTTACAGCTTTACATTTAGTTAATTGGAATACAAGTATGGATTTAAAATCAGTACATTCTCTGAACTACAGCTCACACACAAAGCATTTACAGCTTTATGTTTACTTAATTGGAATACAGGTATGGATTTAAAATCAGTACATTCTCTGAACTAAAGAACACACAAACATGCAGAAAGCATTTACAGCTTTACATTTACTTAATTGGAATACAGGTATGGATTTAAAATCAGTACATTCTCTGAACTACATAACACACAAATGTGCAGAAAGGATTTACAGCTTTACATTTACTTAATTGGATTACAGGTATGGATTTAAAATCAGTACATTCTCTGAACTATAGCTCACACACAAAGCATTTAAAATCTCTTTCACTAACTTCATTACAGTATACATAAAGTATTGAATCCATTCTACATTGTTTATTACAACATTTGAAACCCTTCCATTTATTCAAATAGATGTACAGGTAATTATGAAATTTACAAAACATTTTTACTGTATACTATTTGAATGCCACATAAAAAAATGTTACATCAGATAGTAGAGACTACATCTATTACCTAGCATAATGAACCTGGACTGTTTTATGTTCTTTATGCAACTCAGTCTTTTAATCCCAAATCACACTATAGTATGATACCTCTTACACTTTACAGCATATTATACAAATTAAAACCTACAAGTTATTTCAAAAGTGCACAGTGCAGATTTTATAAATTGATGGTTACTAAAGTTAGTTGCCAACGATGAATACAAAATTGTTAACCCTACACTGCTTTTTATGCGTTTCAGTGACAAGCAATTTGCTGCAAAAGAATTAAAGTATTATCTATGAACTCTAGCAGAAATCAATAAAAAAGTTTTAGCTGTGAATATTTTGTAAGATGTAAAAAGGTATAAAAGAAAATGTATAAATGGACAAAAAATGTAAATCAGATCTAAATTAATCATACTTGTAATAAGTAACAAAGTTTCTATCACAACCATCTGAGTTAGTTTGGATTGTAACAATATTTTCAGGAAAAAACATCTTTCATTCAGATTTCTTCAAAAAATGAAAACTAAGACTAGTATACAACTTCACCCTTTGCACTTGTAAGACAATGAAACTAAGAAAACTTCATACTTCATTCCACACTGTGTTACAATTAGTTATTAAGCTAGAAGTTCAGCAACTACGCCCAAAATGTGTATTCTTTAGTGTTTACACAACTGTAATTATACAAAATTATGCACATATTATATGGCAGAACTTGCAGTTTAGAATATTTGTCCAGAAATGTCTGAGTTATTTAGAACTTTAGAACTGAAAGCCAACAAGAACATTTTTAATGGAGAGTTAATTTGAAACTTAATAGTAATTAAGAAATTTAACTAGCACACAATTATCTTACTTTCACAAATCGAACTTGCACTATCTAGTGAAATATTACTACAGTTTAGCCAAGTTTCTGTCTCAGTTTTTAACAATGAGGTGGAGAAGAAAATATTGTTAAACAAGCTATTTATAACTGATTTGTCATCTTCTCAATAGTCAGGTCAGTTTTTTCCAGAAATAAAACCATCTGATGATCTCCAACTACGTATGCAGAATCTGGTGGATTATATTAGCTTTCATTTTGATATCCTTCCTACAAAACTTTATGTCTGAAGAAACACTAACAATAAAAAGGTATCTACTAAACATATATTTCAATTCTCATCCATCATCCTCTTCATTCACCTAACATTAGAAAGAAACAAAGAAACACTTTAATGGCCTATGAAAATAATAAAAACTTTTAGTAGCAAAAATTTAGTTAATCAACATAAATGTTGTTCATGATTCTAGTAAACGTGAATCTGAACTCTAAGGACATGATGAAGTGTAAGCAAAGAATAAACTTAAAACATTACATTTTGTTTAGTTAATTCTGGCCTAAGGTTTTGAGTCAAAGAACCTTAACTACGCAATCTAAAATTTAACTCTCTTCCGATATCCAAACAAATTGTATTCTGCTGTATAAGCCAAATAAATGGTGATGTTTATCACATTATTGCACTGAAATGTCTAGTATTTGAATAAACTTCAAGTTTATGCAACATAAAAAGAACAGCTAAGAACTACAGAAAACTCAATAATACAAAAATGAGCTTAGATTTCAGTTACAAAACTTCCAATTTCTATAAATAGACACTTCATTCTATCCTTTAAGTCATCATTTAAACAATACCAGGCTTTCACAGTTGGCTACTATAATGACTGACACTAGAAGGAATATAAAATTATAACAGTTCATATAGTTCTAAGACTAATGTTGTAATGAATATCCAGTATCCAGCCCATTTGATTGTTTTTCTAGGTATTTGGTTTAACTAGATATTAATACCTGTTTAGCAATAAAATTGCTAAAATTTTCATAAAATTTACCAGAAACAGTCTACCCTAAAACCAACTATAGCTATAGGAATTAGTAATTTTTAAAAGCAAACAAACATGGTCAATTAACTAATACATTAACAGTAACTTTGATTTTTGGTAAAAATTATAAAATGTTTATATAAACTGTTTTCAGTAATACATGTTGTCTTTGTATGCATAAATCCATTTAGTTTTGATATTTTACAAAGTAAATGATCCAACTTTCTTACGTCAAACAACAAATCTTATTAAATGTATTTAAGTCATTTTTGTATGGTAAGTGAATATTATGTTTTTTTAAACGACCTTGTAAATAATTAGTTATCACCAATCCTAGTTGTTTAAAAAGATTTTAGGTTGAAATGTAAAAACATATTCCACTCTCAATTTTGTGGAAACAATCAGTTTCTCTCTGCTTCATAAATGTCATTGACTTCTGAAAATAGGTGCTTACTACATACTGCTGGCTGGGACTGATAAGAATCTTCATACCAATAGAGTTAGTATCAGAAATGTTTCTTTGTTCAGTTTCCATCACAGTAATGGATTAGACTGTTGTTTTATAAGTGGTATAGACAGAAAGAAATTAATTTCACTGGTATTAGCATATCTCTGTGATGACTTGTTTGAACTAATTCATGGGTGACTGCAGATATTTCTTTGCAGTAATCTCAGAATTTCCTGCCATAAACCTTTCACTATTAGCGGAGCTATATCACTTCTACTATGTTTATCTTATCTTCAAATAGACTTAATTGTGAAATTGGTAGTATAAATGCTTTCACCATCAAGCTTTGTCTCACTACTTGATCTTATTGCTCATTGAAAAATTCTACTATAAAGCAACAACCTAATGAAGCAGCTATTGTAAGGTGAAACTTGGAATTACTCTGTATTCCAGTAAATATAGTTTCATATCCTTCTCTCAAAAACACTTTCATTGTTCATAGTCCAAAGTGGCTTAGGTTATCTTTTAATGCTTTCCACATGAGTCACAGGTCAAAGGTATGTGTCATATGGTATGTTGAATGTAGCACTGGTTCAAATTAGATGTTTGTGATGTCAAAATAGTCTATAGTTTCATATGAATTAGGAACTCAAATTACCAACATTGACAAGCTAGAAAATAAAATGAGAACCTCCTATCTTTTCTATTTGCTGAGATATCACTCATGTACTGAATCAAACACAGTGGCCCCACTAAGCTCTTTTCTTTTTGGAAACACTCCCTTATATACACTTATTTCTGTCTATGACATGTGAATAACCAATCAAAAGATCAGAATGGCTTTCTCATCTCGTTCTTTTGATACAAAACTTCAAAGTGGTAAATTAAGTCTGTAGTCTGCTCGAAATTTCATATTTTTTAAACTCAAACACAGCTTAGTTACTAAGCTTGATAAATTATAGTGGAATTTTATGGTATTGATAATAGTAATTTATGATTTTTGGTTATTTCAAATGTATATATAAAACCTAAAAAGAATTATTTCGTTTGACATCCTCCATGTGCAAAAATTTATAAGGCTTAGCAACCTAGGACAAGCAGGAAA